AAGCAGTTAAGGGGGAAAAAGGCCTTGAAGAAATTGATCTCAGTGATTATGCAGAGTTTAAACTCACAGAAGAAAATGTTGGTTATCAAATGCTTAAGAAGGCTGGCTGGACAGAGGGCACCGGTTTGGGATCAAAAGGCCAAGGAATTACTGCACCCATCAATAAGTAAGATACGAACAAAATGATTATTTTGATTGATATTAGCTCAAAGGTGTAGGCTATGGCTTATTGGAAAGTTATCTGAAAAATACTCCATTTTCGAATTCAAAGCGAATAACCGCTGTTTAATTTGACAGGTGATTCTCTTACTCAAAGTCCTTACTCCTTAGTCTTACATGTACTTTAGACCTTTCAGGAATACTGGGTTAGTCTCAACTGGGGGAAATTGCAATTTTTCAAGGCTTTTGTAATAACTACTTTTTCTCGTGCTTTCTTATGTGTTCAGTAAGGTCTTTGCACATCAATAAGTCTCAACAAGTTCAAATCCAAGACATTGATTAAGAGCATTTTAGAAAAAGCAGACAATTTTTTAGATATCGACCAGATTATTGACGAGCACCTCTGTCGTTTTAAAATTATCTTTTAAGATATTTATTGAAATTAATTTTCTAATATTGCAATTTCAAAAATCCTTGTATATATACTGTGGTTTTTCATGACAATTGATATTTGACGTGCTGTGTCTTTGTTGCTACTTTAATTATAAGAGAGTGATAATGGCCTTGCGCACGGAGTTCGTATGCACAAAAATTCTCACGCTACATTTATAATATTTTCTCGTTATTGAAAAGTCCGATAACAGCGAAWTTTTTCAAAATGTAAGTAAAAATCAAGTGCATTCCAAATATCAAGACAAACGTTTGCGAAATTTTATAAAGCTTTCGATTATCGAGTTAATGTAAATTCGATTCGGAAAAAAGGGCCGTTTTTTAGCGATTTTTGCAGGTACACAAATTAAGTTTATCGCATTTATCTTTCGTACACTACAAAATGTATTTGAAAGTTTTAGTTTACCAGAATGCACTTAAAATTGTCTTTCATTTCAGGAATCTATATTGATAATTCTAAAAGAAGTCGCGGAGAAATTGTCATTTGACTAGCGTGAGAATCAAAAATAAATCTCTAAAAACACAGTGGTAGTTCGCCTATTTACGCCTTCCGGTACGCGTACGCCATTATTTTCGCCCTTTTCGCCCTCTCGGTGATTACGCAAATGACGCATTACGCGTTCGCATAGGACGCGTTCGCCTTTTTCTCCCAAATGACGCATTTTTCGCCCAACCAAATGACGCATTTTTCGCCCAAAGCTAAATACTAATGTCAAGCGTTTTACCTGTGTAGTATAAATTCGGCGGGACTGACCCTTTTTTCCGAATCGAATTTACATCACGTGACCGTGAATAAACTCTTTCAATGTTTGGCTCAATGTTAATCAACGCTGGAAAACAACTTCGATTGACTTCAATAAATTGATGCGCTTACTCTGGCGTGTTATTTTTTTCTTTTTTCCTGTACCTTTTTTCTAAGAGATGCTTTTAAATGCAAATTTTAGACTGTTCACAAGCATTTTCACGTGCTCAAACACAAGATGCGAGACAGATCGTCTCGCTTGATGTCTACTTTTACCAAACGATAATTATTTGAAAACATCGTAAAATAGTCTATTATTGGGAGAAAACGGTAATGCATTTCTTTTGCTTTTGAATGGTAAAAATCAATGAGATTTTTATCTAGTTTTTTTCTTCTTAAAATCGTTTTCCAAATTCGGCAAAACTGTCGCGTTACAAATGCTACCAGTGATGAAATGGAAACGGAGGCTCGCATATTCTATCCGTTTTAATAAGGTTACATTGCGATGGGTTTAATATAATTACTAATCACAAGAAATGTAAAAAAGAACATTTTATTGAAGGTATGCATAAATAATTATAATCTAATAGGTCGATATTTTCAATTTGATTCTTCGTTGACAATAGTGGCAATCGGCGAAACGCGAAGGGCGTACTTGGCGTAATTGTCTAGGCGTAATTCGCGTAATACGCGTAATTTGGGAACGCGAAAAAGGCGAAAGGCGAAAATAGGCGTAATCGTCAGCGTTAAAAAGGCGAAAAAAAGGCGTAAAAGGCGTACGCGTAATACGCCTAAGGCGTAATTCTCATGATAGTTTTTTTGCTAATTTCTGTCTCACGGCAAAATGGAATTTTAGTGAACACCACTGCATATTATCATCATTAACCTTTATTTCTAAATATTTATACAAAGACAACTATATCTATTGTAAACTATATAAAATTTCCTATCAAATGGCGTTGATTTGTTGAAGAAAAATATTAGTACTATTGAATGAGGAGATTTTCTAAACAATTTTTCTGGATTTTCTTACGAAGTTGCCGTGCATACGAACTCCGTGCGCATGGCCAGGGTAGGCGTGGTGCATTACAGGGGGGGTAATATCTATCTATCGCGTGATAGTGTTACGGAAGGACGGACAAACCCGATAACAAAGTGGGTTACCCGTCTTATAGACGGAGTAACCACAAAAAGGCTGAAACCTAAACTCTGGATTCCTTTGGAACCCCTAGTAATTTATGTTCACTGGGTGTGTATAGTGCACTGTCAAAATAAGTGCTATATTTTAGTCGGCCTTTGGGCAAGTGTACTAAACTCTCGTTAACTCTGTTAACCTTAATGTTGCTCTCATTTTCGTTTCTTACTGCTCACTCAATGGTAACATTTATAGGAGCTATACACCATCTGGAGGATCTGGAGGATTGGGTGAAGAAAAAGTTGGTGAAGTAAAGGAAGAAGATGATGAATTTGATTTGTATCGGAAACGAATGATGCTGGCATACAAGTTTCGACCAAATCCTTTGGTGAGATAATT